TGGTCAGAAGTTCTTTTCAGACTAATGACCAACCAGGCACTTTTAAATGCGCTCGTGCACGATGCAAAACGTGTCCTTTCATTCACAACACTGAGAAAATATCGGGACCCAAGCGATCCATTAAGATCACCGATCACTTCACGTGCACCTCCGCCAATATAATCTATAGCATGACTTGCACTTACTGCAAAAAGATTTGAAGACTAGGTAACCGATTCCAAGAACACCTTCGCGACGTGGAGAGGAATAACAAGGACACATCGAAACCAGTCGCTAGACATTTTAATTTACCTAACCATTCTAAGCAACACATGGCAATCTGCGGTCTTTCCTTACACTTAGGTAGCACGGAAAGCCGGAAAACTCTTGAACCAAAGCTCATCTTTCAAACCGGCTGTCTAAATCCCACAGGTATCAACGAACGCTTTTCATTCCACTAATTTATTCGTGTTTTTCTCGTTGCCATGTTCCCACCAATCACGTAGCTCCTTTTTCTTCCTTTAAAAGCAGACACAACCCACAATTCCCCTATTCGCTCCGACGAAGGACTAACGCTCAAAACGTCAGCTTTTATAATCGTAACGGTGGCCAATTTACCATTTCAACCTTGTTGATATATTCAAATTAGATTGAAGTTAGCCAGAAGCCATTTTACCTAACGTTTACAAAAAGAAACATTTACTGCGCAAATTAACACCCAAGATCTCATTAGTAATTCTCCTTATGGTCTGTCATATAGTTCTTGTGATGTTAGATTAAAGAATTTGGTATTGGATCAGCCAATAATCCCCTTTAGAAGACTTTCCTTTATTCTCATACACTTGATATTGTATTGATATTGTTAGGAGAAATTCTGTCTTGATCACTTGTGGGAGTTAAATTTTAGGGTTAACTTTAAGTGGGGTGGCACTTAACGACAAGTATGTTGCTATTGAAATCTTACATCCCCCTTAACTCTGGTTCCTTGACCCCAGTGGGCAACAAAGTTTATCAAGGTTGTTCGATGCAGGTCCCTTTAAATGGTTAAAACACAACCATATTGGGCATGTCAGGTGACCAGAAAAAACATAGGCATGCTACGCATGCAAGAGTTTTTGAGTTACTATTTGTTTTAAAAAATAACTCTATGTCAGTGTATGGAGTGATATGTTACTCACACCGATCAGATTTCAACATTAGAGTATGTATGGCATAATAATCAGATTGAACTTTCTTCACTAGCTAATTGTAATACCTGTAGGCCTTCTACGTTTATTTTCTGAAGGATCGTCACTTTTACAACTCTCCACAACTGCTGTATTGTCTGCAAAAGAGAAAAGAATAGTCAAACTGTAATGAAAATTGAATTTGTGAAATGAGCAACACGCAGGAGTCAAAATAAGTGCTGAGAGAAAATGAAAATCTCTTGTTAGCCCACTCACGGAATATGAGAGAAGAGAAGTTGATGGACTCACAGAATTGAAATTTATTAGAAGGAAGTAAAAGGATAATAAATAAATAAATAAATGATTTAGCAATGGACATCCACTGGGTGGCTATTCTTGTCCACCGTTTCCAGTTCGAATTGGAAGGATACATTTAAATGGTATCATCAAACTTCTAAACCAGCCATCATACTGCACAAGAAAAAGAGCATTAACTTTCAAAAATAGGAAAATATTACAATCCTTAACTTTAAGTGGGGTGGCACTTAACGACAAGTCTGTTCCGATTGAAATCTTAAAATCTCCTTAACCTTGGTTCACTGACCCCAGTGGACAACCAAGTTTGTCAAGATTCTTAGATGCAGGTCTCTTTAAATGGTTGAAACACAACCATACTTGGCATATCAGGTGACCAGACAAAACATAGGCATGCTATGCATGCAAGAGTTTTTTTGAGTTACTATTTGTTTTAAAAAATAACTCTATCAATGTCAGTGTATAGAGTGATATGTCACTCACACCAATCAGATTACCACACTAATGTACGTAAAACATAATAATCAGATTGAACTTTCTTCACTAGTTAATTGTAATACCTGTAAGCCTTCTACGTTTATTTTCTGGAGGATTGTCACTTTTAAAACTCTCCTCAACTGCTGAAATGTCTGCAAAAGCCAAAAAAAAGTCAAATTGTAATGAAAATTAAATTTGTGAAATGAGTAACGAGCAGGAGTCAAAACAAGTGCTGAGAGAAAATGAAAATCTCTTGTTATCCCACTCACAGAATATAAGAGAGAAGAGAAATTGATGGACTCACAGAATTGAGATTTATTAGAAGGGAATAAAAAGTAAGATTTAAATGGTATCATCAAACTTTTAAACCAGACATTGTACTGCGCAAAGAGCTTGGGCACGAAAACAATGAATAGGAGGGCAGAGGGAGGGAGGTAGTTGATAAGTGTGAGGTAGTTGATAGTTGTTAATTAACAATTTGTACTACCTACAAACTGAGAAGAAGGATAAAGATTTCAGACAAGTTAAATGCAATGAAGATGAAGAAAGTGAGGAATTCCTTATCCACCCCCCTTTCATCTAGAGTGTAAAAATGTCATCTGTGACTTAAATATAGGTATGCTGCCCATGGAAGAGTTATTTTTTCGAATGGGTGGGTTGAGGTGAGACACTGCATAATTGTTGTTCATTTGTTAAATTCTGTTGAAGAAGAAGAGCATTACTGGTAACTTTCAAAAATAGGAAAATATTACATTCCTTAACTTTAAGTGGGGTGCCACTTAACAGCAAGTCTGTTGCTATTGATATCTTTAAACCCCCTTAACTTTGGTTCCCAGACCCCAGTGGGCAACAAAGTTTGTCAAAATTGTTCAATGCAGGTCCCTTTAAATGGTTTAAACACGACCACATTTGGTGTGTCACGTGACCAGACAAAACATAGGCAATTGCTACACATCCAAGAGTTTTTGAGTTACTATTTGTTTCAAAAAATAACTCTATGTCAGTGTATAGAGTGATATGTCACTCACACCAATCAGATCGCCCTATTAAGGTATGTATGATGTAAGAATCAGATTGACCTTTCTTCACTAGCTAATTGTTATACCAATAAGCCTTCTATGTTTGTTTGTTGAAGGACTGAAGCAGGTCCCTTCAAATGGTTGAACAACAACCATATTTGGTGTGTTATGTGACCAGAAGAAGCATAGGCATGCTATGCATGCAAGAGTTTTTGAGTTACTATTTGTTTTTAAAAATAACTCTAATCTCAGTGTATAGAGTGATATGTTACTTGCACCTGCAATCAGATTGCCGCATTAGGGTTTGTATCACATTGCAATCAGATTGCCACATTAGCATATGTATCAGGTACCAATTAGATTGCCACATTAGGGTATGGATCATGTACCAATTAGATAGCCCCATCAGAGTATGTATCATGTACCAATCAGATCACAATATTTTGACATCTTGCAACAATCAGAGCATTCCTGCTAGTCTGTGGTTTGACAGGTCTTCAAACTTCAGCAAATTAAAGCGCAACTTGAAGGGGGTGGTTAGGGAAATGAAAGTTATTATGAAGTGTGAGAAACACTGGCTTCTCTTTGCTTTTGGCGTGTGTCTTGCTGTGCCTTTTGAGAATATTGGGATACTGCTAGACAGATGAAAGACATCCAATTATTTAAAGTAAATGTAATTATAGTCATGGTGAGAAAGCAGCAGAGTTCTGACTATTGCATGACTATGGTTATTCGATATTTATGTGATAAACGGAGAACTCTTATTAGCAAAGAGATGGATATTTCACGTCACAGTCAACACAGATAATTAGATATAACTTGCTGATCTTTCAAAACTTTGCCAAAAGAACAATCACAAGGCAAAAACAAGATTGTTGATCAAATATGCTTCATGCAAATACTTACTGGAGTCAGCAAAACTAGCTTAGTCCACACAAGCATATTCAACATGACAATAAGTTTTGTCCTGATCAGAAGCTATGCATAAAAATTATATCTTAAAACCCTAAGGTACTCTCCCATGAAAGAGTGATGGACTGTGGCCAAAAACTTTTCACATCTTGTAACTTTCTGTTGACTAACCTCTGGGTGCAACTCTCTCAAAGTAAACTTTCCTTGCTTTGTACTCTTCTATGTCTATTGTTGTTTTCAGCTTCAGCTCAGCTAGGTTCATTTCCTCCAAGATCTTTTCAGTCGCAAAACAATTTTGAACTATTTCACCAAGATGACCAGATGAATAATAAGTCCACAATTCCTCCAAGATTTGGAGAGATTCACACTTCACTGTTATCAACAAACTTCCAACAGAGAAACCTGTAATGTTGACACTCATTTTTCTCAGATGTTCCTGAAACCTACTATGATCTTCAATCGACTTTGGTGGTGTTTCCCGGAGGTAATTATCAGCAATTGAGCACAAGACTCTGGTTTTCAATGCTTGAAGATCGTCTGTTCCTGAATGAGACACACTTCCTTCTGTAGGTGAGGATGTAGCAGCTGCACTCTGGTATTGAACCCCTTGGGATCCTCCATTCTCTGTTGCTATAGTTGAGGTCTGCACTTTAGGTTTTTTAGGTTTCAAGTCTTCCACCTCAACCTTGATGTTCAATTCACCATCTGTTGAATTGTATCAAACAGTCAAGTTTGATCCCAGTTTATACTTTTTCACCTCTTAGCTAACTGTCATGATCAACAATTTAAAACATGAAAATAGCTAATAAGTGTGATATGTTTATCACATTTTACAGAGTATTTCGCATGGTTTAAAATGAATTTTTGCAGGGTCACGAGGTTTTCAGTACGTTTTGAGATCGTCGCGGATCCTAACGTGAGCCGCCTCTTGTGCTGAAATATTTACCGTATTCTCCGCTTTCGCCCCGTTTGGAATAATGGAAGGGCGTCAGACTAGAAATAGCCTTTCCGCTGCCTGCTTTAGCGTCAATGACGGCCATCCAACATCGACTGTTGCGTCCACGGTAGTTCCGTCTTCGTCGGCATGTAACACGCCACCTCTCGTAAACTCGCCAAGCATGCCGTCGGATATGCTTGAAATGGTTAGGCTGGTGGCTTCTCAAGCAGCTTTAGCGGCAGTAAATTCATTACAGGGCTGTTCATTACCATCCAGCACCACGGCAACTACGACGAATGGGAATTCGCTCGCTACGGCAACTCCACCCTCGTCAGTGTTGAATCCATCGTTGGCCAACCACGTGGAAAGTTTCCTGGCGGCAGGTTCTAGCGTGGGATTCTCTGAAACGACTTCGCCCATCTCGGCTACAGGTACGTCTGTTTCTTATTCTGTACCGGAATTTTTGAGCACGTTCTCTATGCCTACGACGAATTCTACTTCGGTTAGAATGGCGACGCCAATGACGGTCAGTAGTCTCCCCTCGCTTTCATCGAGTTTGTTCGACCAGCACTTCGTTGTTGGCCCGGGGTTTTCTCCGATCCCTCCAAAGATCGTCAATCAAATTCTGGCGGGCAAATTTACCGACCTGAGCGAGCTGCTCACGCCAAATCTCCTCCAGGCGCAAACCGAGCCACAGTTGTTGTTTGATGGAAGAGTAGTTCTAACGTCGAGCGGCAAAAAGCCTCGCCGTCGGATCGAAGACGTCGTCAGTTGGGTCGAAGCGTTTACAATTTTCATGCTGGTCATTGCATCGTCATTCCCGCATCGGTGGCGTGACCTAACGGCATATAAGCTCTTAATCCTACGCACGTACCGTCAATTTGGT